TGTGTGTATATATATGTATATGTATTTTTTTTTTTAGCTAAAGCCTCTGAAAATAGAAAGCATATAGGAAGACCTGAATTAATTCAGTGCATTGTTGTTTTCTTTATGTTGAAAACCAGGCACTCCTGCTAAATATGAGAAAGAGAAATGGATGGGTGGGGGGTAATCGGTTTTTTGTTTTTTTTTAATACAAATACATTTTTTGGTAGGGGTCGGAGAAAAAGGGAGTTATAAATAATTATTAAAACAAAAATTAATCCCTTAAGAATAATTTAAAAATTATAAGTGTAGAAAAGGTATCCATTATCCATACTTCTTTCTACTTGAATTTTATAGATTAAAAGTAGATAAGTTGGATCTCTTTATATGTTTCAGTACTTTGATCTTTTTCTTTGCAGACCAAGGAACATCATGGTGTACAATTGTACAACAGGCAGCACTAATCCTTTCCACTGGGGTGAAGTTGGTATGATTTTATTTGTGTTTTTGAATGATAGAATAAATCTTAAAGAGCTTAAATTGTCCACTGAGTTTATTTGGTAGAATAGTTCATGAAAGTTTAAGGCTACGGAATTACCAATTTGTTCTTATTTTAATTGCCATCTTGGAATAGGTACCTATACCTATAGTGCCTTATGGTTCTTAGTTGTTTTTCACAAATTTAAAATATCCTATATATTTCACCCCATCCTTTTTTTGACACTTGCTTTTTTTCTATATGCAACAAAACTTGTAAATACCTTTGGAACGGAAGCAATACTTTTTTCCTCCCTCATGGGAACCACCAGGCCTGATGTTGTGTGATAGACAGTATCATTTCCAATATCAGAATAGTATATCATAAAAGAGAGCAAGTAGACCCCCAAGTATGTTAATTAATGAAAGCATTAAGAATACATTATGTATTCTTAATGATATATTATGTAAGGATATTTTTAATTACTTTTATTAATCTTATATAAATTTACAAATTCATAGTATGATATGATATGTTATTAAAAAATAGTAATAGCATAACTTAAAGCCGATTGAAATGAGTAATTTTTAAATTGTTACATCATTCTGTCCTAGTATTTTAAAATTTCTGTTTCAATTTAAAGATTGACCTTTAGAGCATATAAGCAAAAATTTAAATTTAGGGTAATTCTGATATTCTAATATTAAGGTAATGAATTGAATTAGTATTGTTTTAAAAACATTTGAAGTACTTTTTTGATAACCTTTAATGCATTATAAAGTTAAATGCAAAGCAAGCTGATCATATTTTTTAGTGAATACCTCAGTATATAGTTCTATGATAATGTTAACATGAATGATATTAGGTTTGATTGACACTGCATAATCTAAATAAATTATAGCAAAAGTTAATTTTGGGTTGTTTTAAGCTTGTTGGTATATGTTAATTTGAGGAACTTAATCATTCATAAGCAAAGGATGATGATTTTCCTTTTCTTTTTAAAGTTAAGTACAGTAATAAGAATCTGGAAAGAGGAACAGAAAGAAAGAAGCTATCGTGAGAGGTGAAATATAGAAAGTGACATTGTAAATTGGCATAGGTAAAACATTAAAAGGATTTTAAGCGTGAATATTAGCAAAAATTCCATGAACTTCTCAGGTCATTTGTATTTGAAATTCCCAAATAGTGGCAGTTCGAAAATCACTTGAGTTAAGTAGTGTAATATCCATATTCTTTTAGCTACTGTTGAGAATAGAAAAGTTTTGTTTTGTTTCTTTATAAATGAGACAACTCTGACATCTTTAATAAATATTTTGCGTTCTAAAACATGATTATTTTTCCCAAAACTTCATTACATGGTTATTATCAAAGCTGTTACACAACTTTTCTTCCTCAGAATACCATGTAATTTCCACTTTCAAGAGGAATCCTCTCGAACAGGCCTTCAGACGGCCCAATGTAAATCTAACCTCCAATCACCTTTTATATCATTACTGGATTGCTGTAAGCCATAAGGCCCCAGCATTCCTGTATGATATCTACCTCAGGATGACTGGAAGAAGCCCAAGGTAATGGTGCCTAGCTCTGTCTTTTCTGTTCCTCTGACTGTTAAACAACCCATACTTACACTAAAATGCCTATTAACTTTGTATTTGTTTATGTTTATGATAAGGCTTAATGGCCTTTTATGAATGAGAAGATTCTTGAATTTAAGACTTTATCAGAAAAGAAAATATAGTCTTGTAAGTCACTCTAATGTGTTCTAAAGTTTGGATGATAAATTATTGTCGTCAATTTGAGGTCTAATTTTCATTTTTTTTCCCTTTTTTGTAAATAACAACATTCAAAATGCTTTGATGCTTATTTTTCCTACAGGAGTTTATATAAATCATTTCTTCAAGATGAATCCTTTAAACCAAGTATTAAGGCACCCCAATATTAAGTTTTATTCCAACAACCTATTGCTTCATTATTGGAAGGGTGTCACACATACAGTACCTGCATTATTGCTCGATCTTGCACTCAGGTTGACAGGTCAGAAACCGTGGTAAGAAGAATAGCAGTATTAAATACACTACGTTTTGGTAAGGTGGTGGAAGCTTGCTGGAGAGACGAAAAGTCACTAGCATGAGCTTTACCTTTAGAATTACTAACCTAATAAATCACAATCACAATCAGGATATCAGGACATTTCTTAAGAATTGGAGATAGAGACCCTGTGTATCTCATTTTGTTTGGCTGTTGATATTCCAAAATCCTGTAAGGTGGAAATGTCCAGCATCAAGGTTGTCATTGTTATTATAAGCTGAAATTGAGCCCTTTTCCTCTCCCCCTTTAAAACCTAGGGGTGAGTTTTTAGGGGACTAAGGGTAAATACTTTTTTTTAATATATAAATGGATGGTGCAGTTTTATATGAAAAAAGTGACACAGGATGCTTCTAGAAAATCAATTAAAATATATTAGCTGCCCATTCAGCTTATAATACGGTAATTACAATTTTAACTAATTATCCAGATTGAGAATTGCATAGTTAAAAAAATGGAAAGCTTTCTATATTCTTATAGTTGTTTTAGCCTTTCTTCCTTCTTTTTCTTTTTCTTTTTATGAAACCCCACAAAATTTTAAATAATGCTCTTCTACTGTCTTTACCTCATGATATACTGAAATGCATTATAAAAACTTTTTTTTTTTTTAACTGCATTGGCATTACAGTGGAGCCTTTGATTGGAGAGTTCAGGATTTGAGTATTTATGTATAAAGAAGATGTTGATTCCAGAACTTCCATCAACTGCTCCAAATATAAACGTGAGCTATCTGCCAGTTTTAGTATATCAGGATCTCAGTTAATTATAGGGATTTTCTATGAATTCAGTTATCTATGGTTTTCCTAATTCTGTATGTTAAAAATTGAAATATGTGAGATATAGTGAATTGAACCACTTGAAAATAGGTAAAGAAATACTGGAAAAAGGAACCAAATTCATCAAAATGATTTTTTAAGTTTTTCTGGAGAGATCTACAAAATGTAGTCTTTGTCATTTATTGATAGTAATTTCTTATTATTAGAAGGCAGGTGTAAATTTATGCCTGGTGACAGTGTATGCTTTCTTGTATTAACAGAGTTGTTAGAATTTAGGGCAGTGAAGTAAAAGCTGAGTCAAAAAAGTAAAACTTAAATTTAAAGCTTCAACTTTTAAAATGTCTGACAGTGCTTTACAGAGAAAAGGGCTTAGTAAACTTAAAATAAATAAATAAAAAATGAGGGAATAGCCAAAGTTCTCAAATTATTCAGAGTAAGATGTTGCTGGGAAACTAGTCATCTCAAATAGTGGCTTAAACAAGCAACAGTCAATTGTGTTTTTTCCAATTTTTTTATTTTCTCAGGGTCAGGAATTTAGCATGGACTTAGTTAAGCAGTGCTTTCTTGGAGTCCTAGTTTGGTGCTGAAGGATAAGCATTGGACTGCTAGCTGCATGGTCAGCAGTTCAAACTCACCAACAGCTCCTTGAACTATACAGGGTCGCTGTGGGTCAGAGCAGACTCAGTGGCACTTAACAACAACAAAAGATCTTGGATCTTATATCTATCAGATGGAGGAGAGAGCTGAAAAAGAGAGACAAACTGAAGCAGCCACGGAAGAGGGCTGGACAAGTAGCATGATCACTTCATGTAGTCTCACAATCTCTCCATATAGTGTCTTTGCATACACTAATAGCAGCTTGAGAAGAACTGGACTGGTTGGTTATGTGGTGTTTGAAGATTTCAAAGGAAGTATTTCAGCAAGAAAGGTGGAAGCTACATTACCTTTTCTGACTTAGCTTTGGAAATTATGCAACATCACTTCCACCTAATTCTTTTAGTCACAAGTGAGTTTTAAGTCCTGCCGTATTCTAGACTCCATCTCTTAGTGGAACAGTGGTCAAGGTCATGTTGTAAATGAGTAAGTGAGCAGTCTAGTCATTTTTGGAAAGTCCAGTTTGCTATAATTAGCCCTCTAGTCTGAAAAATTTGTTTTCCTCCCTATGGAAAATATGCTTACTCCTTTTTCCCAAAGGATTTTATAGCATTTAAAATCTGGTCCAGTTGTGAGTGAGACACTTTAGGTGTAGTTTTGTGGGTCTGGCTACTCAGTTAAAGACATAGGTTGTATACCACCACCATGCACCCAACACACACAGTGGGGAGACAAGCATAGGATAGTAAACTTTAGACAGTCTTGTTGAAAAGAGAAAATGAGAGGTACTGTCACTGGCACATAGCTGTTCTGAAATCCATCAAGGTTCATATAGAAAGTTTCTTCATTAGGGCTCAGTCCTAAGATTTGGGAGTACTGTGAGGTTCTTTGCTCTCTGGGTCATTTTTCCTTTTCCAAAAGAAATGGTCTTTGTTGACATTAAATTATTTTACCCTGTTTCCAGAAGCCCATGAAAGGTTGGGAGTTCAGAGCAGCAAACTTCTCTGCAGAGCCCTATAGTAATTATTTCAGGTTTTGTGGGCCATATGGTTTATCTTATAACTATTCAGCTGTGCTACTATAGTGGGAATGTAGCCAGAGACTGTCTGAATAAACAGCTTGGCTACTACAGTACAACTTTACGTACAAAAACAGGCAGCAGACTGGACTTGGCTTGCATACCCTGGTTTGTTGAATCCTGATCCAGTGGCCTCTTATCATTTTGTCCAATCACTGACCCTTTAAGTGCAAATTGATATAATTCTTTTTCACAATTGTGTGGGTTTTTTATATATCCGTTTAAAAACATTTTGCTCCATTATGTTAAAACCATTCAGATCTCTTTGAGATACAACCTTCATAATCTTAGGTCTCATATTAGGTTGCTGTGGGACTATATCCTTTAGACAATAGGGTTTTAATGTGATGTATCTCCATAAGAAAAGCACTGGACTATGGTTCGAGCCTGCTAGTCGTTCCTTGGGAAAAAGATGAGGCTTTCTGCTCCCGTGAAGATTTAAAGCCTCAAATGCTATACAGGGTCTCTATGAGTTGCAACCTACTACTCTAAGGCGTTTCACAACAATCACAATCCTTAAAATACGAAAAGAGCCTTTTGTCTGTTTGAAAGATGCTACATAGGTAGGCACTCCTTTAGATTTTTCTGAGGTCTTTAACAAAGGCTTTTACAGCCCCACCTAGGATTTGATTTCTGCTGAGAAGCCATTTCTTAAAGGAATTCTTGGCAGGCATTTTACATTTTATCCAAATTTCACTCTAACTGAAATACTGTATTTTTTAGATCATCTCCCTTTTTTCTCATTTTACTGTGGAAAGTCAGGTGGCACCTTCAACACTGGCTTAAAATCTTACGCAGATCATCAAGTTTATTGGTTACAATTTCTGTCATCTATGATAACACAGTCAACAATTATGTTAAAATTTCTATCAAAATAATGGTCTTTTTTCTTCCAACAGTTTTGTCCTCATTTTTCTTTAAGTCCTCACCTGTAGCTTCTTCAAAGCTCTTTAGGCGTCCATTAACATTCTCTTCATGGTCCTTCCAGATTTCATTAGCAATCTCCCCAAGGTCCTTCCATATGTTCTCGACTCCCTGATATTAACATCATTACCACATACATGTTTGAGGTTTTTTATTATATCCCTAGCTTATTACCAATACTAAGACCTGCCCTTGTTATTGTTGCTACATAGCAACTTAGTGGCTTAAAGCAATTTTTAAAAAATTTATTTGTGTGTGGGTCAGACGTTTTAGAAGGCCTTGGCTAGATGGTTCTGGCTTAGAGTCTTTCAAAGGGTTCTGTCAGAGAGTGGAGCCAAATATAATGTGGAAATAGGCAGGGATAAAGAGGGGCAGAGCTGCTGGGGTGGCCAGGCGTCTTTTTTTCTCTGCCTGTAGTCTCAGCCTCTCCATGTGGTCTCTCCACATGGACCAGTTTGGGCTTCCTACAGCATGGCAACCTCAGGGGGAGTCGGACAACATACGTGGCAACTGAAGCCTTCAAGGGTGAGTATTGCAGTGAGCAAGGCAGAGAGCTTACTTCCACTTCATTTTATTGGTTACAAATGGCCTTCACCTCTTGATGGGGAGATGTTTACATTAAAATTATAGATGAGTATGTAGGATAGGAGATACTATTGCAACGATCTTTGTAAATTGAAAGCTGCCACAAATAGGAAATAGCAACTAAAGAATCATTTTAGTTGAGTTCTCCCCTCATACCAGCTTTCAGAGTGTCAAAGCATGATTAATTCTTGACCTCTGGGAGCTTACAATTTAAAACCAACAAAGGACATGCAGGTTTTCCATTTTGGCCATTTTGTAAATGTTAGCCCCAAAGTTTAAAATGTTTATCTTTTAAAAATTTGTGTAGCTGTTTACTGAGCAAGGCACTAGAGTTTATACTATATATTGGGATCCGTAATGTAGTTGTTGTTGTTGTTGTTGTTAGATGCCATCGAGTCGGCACCAACTCATAGTGACCCTATGCACAGCAGAACGAAACAATGTCTGATCCTGGGCCAAGCTCACTGCTGTTGCCACACTTGAGTCCGTCGATGCTGCCACCTGGCCAATCCATCTCTTTGGGAGT